GATGCCGGTAGCGACAAAAATTGCGGGGAACTATGCGAAAAACGCATCTTCGCACGGGCAGTCCGTGCGCTAGCCAGTTATTTGCTGCTGTTATACAGCACAAAACGCATAAAAATGCATTAAAAAATGCATAAAAAATTGTGTACTAAACGATTTTTTGAGCTTGAAATGCCAAATGACTTCAATTTTACATTTAATTTTGACTGAACATTGCGAAATCAACTTCCAACCTTCGATTTTCAGAACTCAGTTTGGGCACTACTTTTAATTCTTTTGGCGAAAACAGTAATGAAGTCGGCATTTTTATGGTATAAGTTACAAGTTCGCTAAGCAGTGAAAGCGCTCTTTCCTTGGCTTCATGAATCTAAAATTGAGTAATAGTGGTGGACTGAGTGATGAACGCCTGTGCCTGTATAAAATCTTTCATTTCAGATAAATAAATTGAATCTGTTGAAGCCACTTATCCGTGCAGTCGATAACAGTGGCCCATTGTATCAGACGTTCTCGATGTCCGATAAGGTCACTTATAAGTATTATTTGGGAAGAAAAGCCATGTTCGATTCCGATCTTTCCTTGTGTAGGCTTGTTTTTCTTTTTTTTGTTCACAGTACTGAGGCTCAATCCGACTAAATTAGTAACACGTTACTCCGTCAATGCACTTTAATCCTAGAATTTGCAGAACTCAGCTTTGACATCTCTGTTTGAATTAGAGATACAGGGACTAAGACAGATGTTCGTATAACGATGCTTATAAATAAGAGATGAATGATCCGAACAGCTGAATGCTAATTGCGATGTGATGAAAGGACAGCAGGAAATCGCCAACAGCTGGATCGTCTCAATAATTTGAATTTATGGAATGGTGTGGATTAGGATAATGCAAAATCGTTAGCCGGTGGAGTGGTTAAATGGAGCAACTTTTAATTTATATTCTAGACTTCCGTCTGTTACAAATCTTCTTGTTACTAAGGAATCCCACCGCTCACCACTCTTCTTTTCTTGTTACTTTGGGCCTGCTTCACCGAAGCTTGGTGAACCCTGCTTTTCTAGAATTTCTTTTAATAGTTTTTAATTCAAATATCAGTTTTTTAAAGCGAATCAAATGTCGGCAGCAAAATAAGGTTTTTTTTATGGTTTTGTGCTGCAACAGACCGTGTCTGTGTTCATGCTGTCGAGACCATGTCTGTGTTCCAAGTGCATTTTATCCGGAGGTTTTAACTCGGGAACCCAAGAAGCTAGGAGGTTGAAATTTTAAGGGGAGACCGTCTGCCTGCATGTGGTATTGCAGATTCATATTCATCGTCTGCGTGCGTCTAGGTTTCACGCGTGGTCATGTGGAAGTTTTGACTTATAAATTAATAATTCGGGAAGCACAGAAGGTAGGAGGCGAAAATTTTGGGAGAATCTTTCCTTCCCGGATTTGATCCCGTAAAGTTAAATTCAGCTAAATTTCAGGTCTCATGTACGAGCACGTGAAAATCTTGGCCCCGAAATTTATAAATTGGCAACCAAAAACAGTAAAATTCTAGCACCAAAATTAACATCTAGCGTATCAGACAGTAATGCAGTGGACAATTAACAGCAAAGTTCCTCTGAATAGAACTGTACAAGCATCAGCTGAAAGTTTTAGCAAAAGCATCCGCCGGGCAGCACTACACAAACGTTTGCTGGACAAGGTTTCACAGAAATTCCGCACGATCAATCCAACTAGCTTGATGCGCGCCACTACTTTTTATGCGTTTTTTGCAGCTATGCAATGCAAAAACGCATATTGTCGAGGGGTTGTCTGTGT